CTTATAGTTATAGAATATTCACAACATACTTCATACCGTGTACATTATAACATACCATAATAGACCCATTTCTGTAATATACTCACATATCTTTATTATTGCTAATATATGTTGTAATATATCTATATCACTAAAGCACTTCTGGATGGATGCAAACTGCATTTCGTTGCCCTGTACCTGTGCATGTGCAATGACAATAAAGTTGAATTCTATTCTAATTCTATTCTATTCTAAACGACTTTACTCTGTGCATATGCAAAACTAGGATTGGATTAATGAAATGAGCACACCGGCCTGTTTTGTAAATCATCATCATTTGGAAGCAGGACAAATGTGCAATCTGTGTGAATCTGAATGTCTAAATCAGCGTCATTATTGTAAAACAGGCTCGGGCTGAAAGAACGGGTGTTTGGACATCATCTGGCCTTTAATCTTTATTCTTTGCACCATTTCTTGTTACTGCAGCAACAGCACGGCTATGTGTCCTTCAGAGGCTGAGGGGTTCCCTCTGCCATGTACAAAACAGGTTATTACTGCACTACATGAGGAATCACTGAGGCCGGCGCTCCTGACACTCAGCAAGGCAAATAAAAGGAAAAGCTCTTGTGGAGCAGCTGTGTAATAAATCTTCGGACTGCATCAACCTTCATAAGAGGAGTGATGATTGGAGAATGCAAACCAGCGTGCAACCAGCGGTAAAAGTGATGATGACGATCACATAATTCTAATTTTTCCGTCTTTCTGTAAAGCCGGTGTGTTTGGGTGCTGATGTCATGCAGAGATTTGATTGGTTGGTGGTGATCGAGTCCAGATTTGGTTCTGTGCAATCACTTTTCCAGGGAGATCATTTAAACTGTGTTAAAAACAGCATGAGTCTCAGTCTGAGGCCTGCAATGCATTCTGGGAAACATTCAGGCTCTTCTCAGCAGGTGGGACAGGTGTGTGCTCAGAGCAGGTGAGAGTAGGTGAAAGGTCTCCTTTTACCCACATTTAGAGACGAGCATCATCTTCCAGTTGAGGTTGTGTCAAAGCCTCTAATGCAGCTGTATTTGAAGTCTTTTCCTCCCCGTGGCGGTAACGATGGCGTTCCCGTTCTGTTAAATCAAACTTGAACTTCTCACGTTTGTAAAGTTTGTAAAGTTCTTGAAGGTTCGTGAGCGCAGAGTCTCCGCTGGGATCTGAGTGGAATTTGAACCGTCAGCCTTCACGAGCAGCTGGACTCGTGGGCGTCCTGCTGGTTTCCCTCACGGGGACAATCTGCGGCGATGACGTCGTCATGGAGACGTCGGATGCAGAGACAACAAATAATACACGTGAGGCGACGAAGCATCGCCACAATCAAACCTGAAAGTCCTTCAGAGTCCCAGCCTGAAAAATTTCAGCTGTTTTTTAAATAAAGCTTCTGACCGTAGAGTCACAGCTGCGCCTCCCGAGATCAGTTCAGCCAATCAGAGAGCAGCAGGAATGTCCACGCGTCTGTACAGGTTCCATCCTTCTGCTTTTCTGTAGTCATTCGGGCATTATTTGACCTCCATACAGCAGCGACAGCTCTCAGTGTGAGCTGCTGTATGGAGGTCAGAAACCGCCCAGACTAATCATCCAAAACATTTTAAATCTGCCTTCAAAATAAAATGTATTCAAAATATGATCACGGGTTTCTGATAACTGACCTTTTAGGGTAAACCTGAAACTCTCACTGAGCCATGAAGTCTGAAATCCATCTTTTCCTGAAAATCCTTAAAATATTAGTTTCACAAATTAAAGTCAGACTCACATTTATCTGCTGCGGCGAGTCTTCCTCCGTCCTCAGCTGCTCTCTGTCTCCTCTGAGCTCCGTCCTCACCTCCTCCTCACCTCCTCCTCCTCCTCCTCCGTGTCAGCTGGAGCTGACATCCCACAGCCCTCACAAAAACAACATGGAGCAGAGCAGAAACACGTTTAACCCCACAGGTGAGTCCGGGTTTGTCACATGGTTTAACTAGACTTTTATTATCTTTATAAGTTTGTTATTCCTGATACTGCTGAGGTTCACGTCTTGACCTCACCGATCCTTTTGATATCCAGCTGGAGAAGAGTCACATGAAGCTGAAGTATTTTTCATCAAAGCTTTATTACCAGTGCACACTGGGAGATCCCACTATACAGGGAGTGCAGAATTATTAGGCAAGTTGTATTTTTGAGGAATAATGTTATTATTGAACAGCAACCATGTTCTCAATGAACCCAAAAAACTCATTAATATCAAAGCTGAATGTTTTTGGAAGTAGTTTTTAGTTTGAGCTATTTTAGGGGGATATCT